AATATTTCTTTAAAAAAAAAAAAGAAAGAAAGAAAGAAAAAAACAGGCTGCTGGTTGGTGACAGTACTTCATGACAGACAAGTTATTTAAATGATCTTGCCAAACAATTGGATGTTGGGAGTGGAAACCTGAGGTTTGCTGATGAAACAGCCATGCTGGAGAAACCAAAATTGTGCCACTCCCCTTGCTCTCTTCTGTGATGACCATGGCCTGAACCAGGGTCACTTTAATCTTCAAACTAACATCATTGCATTTCAATAATTTGGAGAGGCCCATGACAGAGGACTTGCCCAATGCAAAAGAGACCTCCGGATTTTCTGACTGTTGGTACCAACGATGCTGATTGTTGACTCAAGCAACAGAAAATTGTTGACAATTTCAGTCTTTTCTCCATAATGTTGCTTATCAGTCCAGTATTCAGGACTTGTTTTCCTTGATTTTTAAGATATAATCCATATTGAATTTTTGTAGCAATACTTCAAGACTGCTTCACTTTCAGCAAGCAAGATAATATTTTGTATATTTTCTCTAGCTGCCCTTTGAAATCTGTTCAGGATTTTTTACTTCCAACATTTCTTCCTTTTGTTTTGGTTTCTTGATGATCTAACGTATTGTTTGTTTGTTTTTCTTGTTGTATACCACAGGAGGAGATTGCCCCTCTTTCTCCAAGAGAGCATCTAGTAGATTTGAACCACATGCCTTTGAGACTGCAGGGCAGCTTCTTGCCACTAGGCCACCAGAGCTCCCTGCTGTAATGTACTTTTCATAGTCTCTTCTGACATCTCAGATGCAAAGCAAGTGATTAAAAAGAAATTGATTGAAAGTAATTCAAGGAATGAGAAGCAACATCCGACTGTTTAAAATTTTAACTGGTGCACCACAAGATAAAGGTAAACAATCCAATAGAAAAATGGGCACAGGTTATGAACAGACACTTCATCCAAGAAGACATTCAGATGGCTAACAAGCACATGAAGAAATGTTCAAAATCTCTAGCTCTAAGAGAGATGCAAATTAAAACAACTATGAAATAACATCTCACCCCAGACAGAATAGCAAAATTTAACAGAACAGCAAGCAACAAATGCTGGTGAGTTTGTGGAGAAACTGGAACCCTTATTCACACTATTGGTGGGAATGCAAAATGGTGCAACTACTGTGGAAGGTAGTATGGCGCTTTCTCAAAAAGTTGCAAATAGAGATATCATTTGACCCAGCAATTACACTACTGGGAATATACCCCAAAGAGACCATAATTGACACCCAAGCAGATATATGCACACCTATGTTTATTGTGACTTTGTTCACAATAGCAAAGAGTTGGAAACAACCTAAGCGCCCATCAAAAAAACTAATGGATAGAGAAGCTGTGGTATATTCACACAATGGAATACTACACTGCATTGAAAAATAAGGAAATCATGCAATATTATTCAAAATGGGTGACTCTGGAGGACATTATGCTGAGTGAAGTATCTCAGTCACAAAAGGACAAATACTGCATGGTGCCACTGTTATAAAACAGGACTGACTTTGGGGTTGGGGAGAGACTGAGAAAGATGGGATAAATAATGTATACTGCATTGAAACAGATGAGGGAGAAAACTGTTTAAAAGGGATATGTGATTAGGTATTTTTGTCATGACAGGAGTCTAGAGCGAAGGCTACATGGTGGAGTGGACCTGGGGAAGGGTTTGTAAAACAATGAAGAATTTGTCTTTTACTTTTCCAAGAGGGTAGTGTACTAGGGGGGAGGGCTGGGAGGGGAGAAAGTGCAACAATGAATGAATGGAAATCCAAAGTCTCTGTAAATTTTTATTGAAATTAATAAGAAATTTAAATTTTAAAAAAGTTTAACTGGGTTTTTGCTAGGTTTGCTTAAATCACAGACCTTTTTACTTTTCCGTCTCCTTTCATTTATACATGATGTGCTGGATTAAAGCATTTTCACTTGAGATCGTTCAGATTGGGAAAGTCAGCTGATGCAGACATTACAAGGCCCACGCTGTTTTTGTAAGGTACTGTAAAGTTGAATAAGACCCAGAGCAACCCTAAGAACAACTTACCTGAATCCTGTCCTATTCTGTGCCCTCTTTATCATTTCTGACACACTTGAGCCCATTGCTGCTGTCATTGTGTCAGTTCCATCTTGTTAAGGGTTTTCCTCTTTTATCAAACCTTCACCTTTCCAAGCATGAAGTCCCTTTTCAAGAAATGACATGACCAACATATGTGAGATGAAGTTTCATTCAAGAAACTGAACTCTCTGCAGAAGAATGTGACATCAGGATTGGAGGAAGATTTATCAATAACTTGCGTTACGCATTATTTCAATTTTACTTGCTGAAAGTGAAAAGTATATGAAACACTTGTTACAGAAGATCAAGGACTACAGCCTCTGGAGTAGATCATATCTCAACATCAAGAAAACAAATGTCCTTACTACAGGACCAATAGTCAACATAATCATGTTGTTATTATGTGCTGCCAACTCATCACCGAATCATAGCAACCCTATGTACAACAGCTCTGAAGTCTATGCTATTCTGAGCCAGTCTCACTGACTCTGCGACACACCTACCTCCATTGCCTCAGTTACTGTATCAATCCATCTCATCCAAGGTCTTCCACTCCTGGACACTGTCCCTTCACCTTTCTAAGCATAATGTTCTCTTAGGACCAATCCCTCCTGACTACATGCTCAAAGTATGTGAGACAGAGTTTCAAAGTCTTAGCCTCCAAAGAGAAACTTGATTTTACCCTCTCCATGATGGACCTATTTGTTTTCTTGGCAGTCATGGTATATTCAAGACTCTTCTCCAGCACCACAATTCAAAGGTATCAATTCTTCTGTCATCCTTAGTCATTATCCAGCTCATAACATTATAATAGATGAAGAAAGGATTGAAGCTGTCAATGATTTCATCTTGCTTGGATCAAAAATCAACACCCTTGGTATCAGCAGTCAGGAAATCAGGAGACTTATTATATTGGGCAAGTCTGCTGTCAGGGGTCTCTCCAAAATACTGAAGAGTAATGATGTCAGTGTGAAGACTAAGGTACACCTGATTCAGGCCATGGACTTCTCAATCATCTGCAATGCATCAGAGAATTGGACGATGAATAAGGATGATGGAAGAATAAGTGATGCCTTTGAGTTATGGTGTTGGAGAAGAGTCTTGAATATACCATGGACTAGTAAAAGAACAAACAGATGTCTTGGGGAAAGTGCAGCCAGAGTGCTCCTTGGAGGCAAAGATGGGGGAGTTTCATTTTTCATACTTTGGTCATGTAGCTAGGTGAGGCTATTCATTGGAAAAGGACATCATGCTTGGAAAGATGGAGGGTCAGTGAAGGAAAGGAAGACCTCAATGAGCTAGATTGATATGGTGACTACAGCAATGGGCTCCAGTGTGTCAGAGATGGTGAGGATGGGCAGGACAGGACAGGGTTCAGGCTGGCTGTTCACAGAGTCGCTGTGAGTCACACTTAACTTGAAGACACCTAACAACAACATGCATCTGAGAACTGGACAATAAATAAGGACGGCAGAAGAATTGATGCCTTTGAACTGTGGCATTAGAAAAGAGTACTGAATACCCCATGCACTGCCAAAAGAATAAACAGACATGTCTTGGAAAAAGTGTAACTGGAGTGCTCCTTAGAAGCAAGAATAGCAAAGCTTTGTCTCACATACTTTGGGCATGTTGCTAGGAGAGGCTATTTCTAGAAAAAAGCCAGCATGTTTCGAAAGGTAGAGGGCCAGCAAAAAAGAGGAAGACCCTCAACGAGATGGATTGACACAGTGACTCTAATAATGAGCTCAAGTATGTCAGAAATTATGAGAATGGCACTGGATAAGACAGGGCTCAGATTTGTTGTTCCTAGAGATGCCATGAGTCTCCTGGACTCCAAGGCACCTAATAACAACAACATTCCTTGAAAAGGTTACCCTTGATACAAAGTCAGAAGACCCTTCCATTACGTTAATTATTGTTGTTGTTATGTGCTGTCGAGTCGCTTGCGACTCATAGTCGCAAGAGCCCTAAACCCTGCTCTATCTATCCTGTGCTAACCTCACACCTACTTTCATTACCCCAATCACTGAGTCAATCCATCTCATCGAGGGTCTTCCTCTCTTGCACTGTCCCTCCGCCCTCCCAAACATGATGTCCGTCTCCAAGGACTGGTCCCTCCTTGCAACATGACCAATATATGTCGGACAAAGCTTCAGAATCCTTGCCTCCAAGGAACAGCCTGGTATCACCCTCTCCAGGACGAATATGTTTGTTCATGATATATTCAACACTTCTCTTCAGCACCACAGATCAAAGGCATCAATTCTCTTTCTGTCATCCCTATTCACTGTCCAGCTCTCTCACACATAGCACGCAATTGCGAAGACAATGGCCCAGGTCAGGCACACCTTAGTCTCCAACCTGACATCATTGCTCCTCAGTACTCTGGAGAGGTCCCTGACAGCTGACTTTCCCAATGCAATTCATCTGATTTCCTGGCTGCTGGTACCAAGAGTGTTGATTGTGGAGCCAAGCAAACTAAAACTGTTAACTATCTCAATCTCTTCACCATCTATAATGATGCTGCCAATTGGCCCAGTGGTGAGAATCTTTGTTTTCTTGATGTTGGGCTTCAATCCATATTGAAGGCTGCAGTCTCAGCTACAGCAAGGTTGAGGCAAATTACAACAAAATATTTAAAATGTATCAAGGAAGGTTTTGCCAAAATAATTCTCTTAGGCTAAAAGGACATTTGTCATTTTAAAAACATTTTTCATTGTTTTCTTGCCTGGTATACTATCAACCTGAATCTCAGATAATCATCCATAATCTTGAATGGAAGGAAAAATCTTGTCATGTGGGCAGATCTAATCTGTCTCCAACCCTTGCCTGGCCTATGGAACTCCCTAGGGCAGGGCAAAGAGCCCTTGGGTTAACAGAGATCGTGTCAGTCTTCCTTTGCCTTGGGAGGAAGCGGCTTGCGCGAGGTCTCTATCAAAGCCTGGCAGCTCTGACACCAGTTTCCTGATACCCGAGTGAACAGGTGTGGGAGTGGGTGTTTGGCTAAATACTCTCTGCTGCCTCTTATTGTGCTCAAAGGTCATCTTGAGGGGCCGCAGAATTTTCTGCTGGGAGGGTGGGACAGGAGGAGGGAGGAAGGGCCCAGGCGCTACCGGCATCTCCGGAGGAGGGCTGCTTGAGTCGAGCAGCTCAGGGGGAGGACAACTGGGGCCCCCAACCTCCCACTTGGTCCCAGAAGCAGAGAGCATAGAAGGGGCTCTGAGAAGGTGGGATCACTCACCAGTCAGAGGCATCATGGCCTGCCCAGAGGTTTGCTCGAGTCATCAGAAAAAGTGGACAATATTCTGCGGTGTCAGTGTGGCTCTGGTGTTCGCTTTGGCGATGGCCTTGACCTTCACCTTGCAGTACCACAAGCATTCAGGTAAGAGCCATTCCTCAGCCCTCATCCACTTCCCTGATTGGCGCTTCTCCTGTCTCTCATCCTCACTGACACCCGTTCTCATTCTCAGCTCCATGTGCCACTCTCATCCCGCAGCCCTGCCAAGACTTCATCCCCAATAGACAGATCCCCTGGGCCTTTTCCCTTCCTCTTACACTAGTCTGCAGTTACCTGTAGACTTCAGCTCTCAGCCCCACTCTGTGCCTGGTGTGGATATTCCTTCTTGGTGGTGGTGATGAGGTCATGCAGATTTCCCAAACTCTGCACACCGAGAGCTGAATGCATGCTTTCCTCAGGGAGGGTACGTGCGTGCACGCACGGGAACCCTGGAGCCACTGTGATCCCTTCTCCTTCTCCTCTCTCCTCCCAACCGAAGGTTCTCTCTGCCTTCTTATCATCCCTTACATTTTCTCATCCAACAGAACCTTGGTGGTACTGCAGTTAAATGGTTAGCTGATAACTGAAAGGTCAGCAGTTTGAAACACCAAGGAGAGAAATGTGGTTATCTGTTTGCAGAAGATTACCGCTTTGGAAACCGAATGAGGGTTGCTGTGAGTTGATATCTACTTGATGGCACATAACAGCACCCTGTCCCCAGCAACCCTGCCACATTGACTCGTCTCAGGATCTCCTCTGTGAAGATCCTCAGCCTCCTGCCTGTTTTCTCTAACTTTTGCTGTGTACACGCCCCTCTTGCTACCTTTGGTGTGCAGCTCAAACAGCTTGGCTATATTCAAGACCATTTGCAGCCTGCTCAGAAGTTTCTCTCCCAGTCTTGCCCTATTGCTTTTCTCTGCATTCCATCTGCATTCTCTGCCATTCCTTTATAAGGAACTACTGTCTTTCCTAAGAGTAAAGGTAATCCCAAGGCTTGCTTTCATTGTCTAGAGTCATGTATTTTCCATTTCTGCCAATTTACACCCATCCTTCAAGGGCCTGCTTCAGTGTTGCTCTCCAGACCAGAAACTGCCCCTCACCAAAACCTAACACCAGTGCCATCAATTCTATTCCACTTATAGAAGCCCAGGAGTACAGAGTAGCATTTCCAGGGCTGTAAATCTTTATGGCAGGCTGCGCCTTGGAAGCAAGGATTCTGAAGCTCCCTCTGACGTATTTTGAGTATGTTGCAAGGAGAGACCAGTCCTTGGAGAGGGACATCATGCTTAGGAGGGTGGAGGGACAGCACAGGAGAGGAAGACCCTCAATGATAAACTGACTCAGTGACTGGGGTAATGGGGTAGGTGTGTCAGATGATAAGGTTGGCTCAGGATGGAATAGGGTTGCTATGAGACTGCACATAACAACAAGAACAACAAATCTTTATGGAAATTGACTGCAACATATTTCTCCCTTGGAATAGTTGATCGATTCCAACCATTGACCTTCCGCCTAGCCTCTCAGTGTTTTAATCCCAAGGACTCCGTTTATTCCAAAGCCCCAGGAACCTACTATTTATCTCTCTTGAAGTACTGACAGTTGTACAGTTTCACTCTCTCTCCTATTTAGTGTTCCTGACAGATAATAGGAGCCCAGGGGAGGGTCTGTGGGATGAAGAGAGGGTGGTCGTGGCCTGGGACTGCTGCAGACATCCATCCCCCCTGGTCTTTATTCCAGACTGTGAGCCTGAAGAAGTCTGCCGCCCTGACGCAGACATGCTGGACTACCTTATAAGCCAGGGCCAGATCAAAGAACGGGACGGCCTGCTCGTCACCTGGTACCATCGTGCCAACACCAGGGCAGAGATGGAGGCTGCCCTAAATGGTAAGTTGAACCACTGGGACAGGACAGGCCACTTGGGGAGTGGAGGAGATGAAGGGAGAGCAGAGACTAGAATAAGAGAACCCTTTCGTTGGCTGATAGGCAGCTCTGATGGTCTAGTGGTAAGAAGCTGCTCTGCAACCCCAAAGGTGAGGCTTTTGAACCCACCAGCTGCTCTGTAGGAGGACGGGCAATCTCTTCCCATGCTATTAATTGTCTCTGAATACCCACTAGAGAGTCACCTATGGTTCTGACTCAATGCATACAACAACATAAACATAAGGCTGGTGACTCTTCCTCCATTCCTGATACCACAGAGAGTCCAGCTTTTCTAATTATCTGCTCAGCCTACAGATTGAATAGTTATGGAGAGTGGATATAACCCTGATGCACATCTTTCTTGATTTCTTTTTTATTTCTTTTACCTTTCTTGATTTTAAACCATGCAATGTTGCTTTGCTTTATTTGGACAAGAGCTTCTTGGTCTAGGTATAGGTTTTGCATGAGACAAGAAAGTGGACTGGAATTCCCATTCTTCTCAATGTTAGCTACAATTTGTTATGACCCACACAGTCAAATGCCTTTGCAACAACCTGTGTTATGCAGATGACACAACCTTACTTGCTAAAAGTGAGGAGGACTTGAAGTGCTTGCTATAGAAGATCAAAGACTACAATCTTCCAATATGGATTGCCTCACAACATCAAGAAGACACAAGGCCTCACCACTGGACTGACAGCAACATTTAAGACAGATGGAGAAAAGACTGAAATTGCCAACAATTAGTCCTAGCAGCCCTGTGGTTAGAGTTTGACTGCTAGCAAAGTCAGGGGTTCAGACCCATCAGCTTTGCCTCAAGAGAAAGAAGAGGAGCATTAGAAACTTCATGGATATTTCCACTTTATCTTTTTTTTTTTTATCGCAGCTGTGGGATCCACTTTGTTTTGGAGGTCCATATGGGTCAGAATCAACCCAATGGTGGTGGGTTTGCTTCGATTTTAGTATTTACAGAGGACTTCTTATTCACCACTCACCAGAAAAGGACAGCAGTGAGCTGGACTGAGAGGATGATTAATGCATAGTAGCTTGTGAGGCCTCATTCCTGTCACCAAGCCCATGCCTTCCGACAACCGATTCTTC